CCGGGCCCAGACATAATAGATGATATGGTTATGTAATCTTTCAAGTACACAACATCTTTGACGATGATGTTGTAAGATATTAATATTACACGAGATATTTGGATCATATAGTCGTGGGATTATATAACCACAAGATAGATAGCCTACACGATATTGTCTTAGGAACTTAGGACTACACGATATATGGAGACGACATGGTCATGGAATCTCACAATCCTAGATAATATTGCCGTAAGTGCTTAGGCCCACTGTTGACGAAACTGTTGTAGAACCTTAGGGCCACATAAGATCTTGATGGCATTGCCGTAGGAGCTTAAGACTACAACGAAACACCTAAGTGGCACTAATTTTATGTAACCACTAGAAATAATAGGTCGGTAAGGATAAAGAAAACAAGTAACACGTTTGTTATTCCAGTTCCCATCCTGATCATAACGTCTCTTGCTAATGAGCAAGGTGCATCTATTTATAGTACATGTTCTATTCACTCAACACGGATGTATTTGACCAGTTTACAAACGTTTGATAGTAACTGTCCACACAGCTTACCTAAGAATGGTTACCAATCTTAAGAATCGCAGCAACAACAACAAAAATACAAAACCAGTTTTCGTACGACTTACTGGTACTCCTTCATACAATTATACTTCTGAATATTTCCACTTTATGATACAGTCGAATCACGTTTTGAAACATTTTGTGACCTATTTACAAAGTCGAACCATTACATCATCGATTTTCAAACTAGTCAAAATGTAAAGTGGAAATAATTTCACCGTTTTTTCCATTCCATAACATTTGAAACAACGCTCAACGTTTATTGTGAAGGACAGAGTTTCACTTCAACTGTCACTTTGACCATATTGACATGCTCAGTTTCTGACTAGATGGTGAATTTTTTGTATAAAAAACTGGTAAAAAAAACGATATCAGATTTATGTTACAAAGTGAATTAACCTCCAGAAGATCCAATGGAATAATAAAAATGATAGGGGAAAATTTTAAACTAATATCTGGTTCGTATGGGACGAGGAGTCAACGTATGAAGGACGTTTTCTGTAGTATAAATTGCACTTTCATCTATATTATTGCCCCCCCCCCGGCGGGACAGCGGTATGTCCACGGACTTAGAACGCTACAATCCGGGGTTTGATTCCTGCAGCGACACAGCAGGTTGCCCGATGTGGCTTTGCTCTAAAACAAACACATTTTACCTATATAATTTATGTTTGTTTGTAGTTAAGCGCAAAGCTATAGAATGTGCTGTGCCCACTACAGGTATTGATACCCGATTTTTAGCGTTATAAGTCCGCAAACTTACCGCTGTGCCACTAGGAGGCATATTATCTATGACTTAGTTTTAAATCTATGTAATTATGAGTGTATTTATACATTCTTAGTTTAGACACGTTTGTGTTTATATAATGCATTTTTTTTTTACAATTCCTATGACTCATATCATAATAAATAAATAAAACTGCTGTCGAAAACTGTAACCAAACACTTATTGTGGCTATATTCTACACTACCTTATTAATGTTATTTATTATGTTAATTGTAATTTGTAGCTTACGCACAGCAAAGAACAGATTCTCAGGGTAACAAGGATTATTACGACTATTACGATTATGATGACAACAAACAGCCCAACCCAAACCCAGCCGACCCTCAGTCACCGAGGGCTCCCGATACTGTTCAATCACCTCCAAGATACCAGCCGCCGACTTCTCGTCCAATACAACCTGCGCCTGTTCCTGTTCAACCAGCCCAACCTGCCAGGAGGGTGAATCGTCCGCGCCAAAGAAACCGTGGCCCGTCAATTATTCAGACAAGTGAAGTTTTCAACTGCCCTGAACCATTTGGGTTTTTCCCCCATGCGAGAAACTGTGACCGATATTGGGCTTGTGAAAATGGCACATCTACACTGAAGTTATGCGGAAACGGCTTAGTATTTGACGACACCGACGGGCTACGAGAAAACTGTGCTTATCCTTTTAGTGTAGACTGTGGGGATAGGACAGAATTAGGTGAGTTATCTTACTATATAACAACTCAGAAGAGCCTTAATTCTATTTTTTTTTTTCATATTTCAATTCAGCTGTAACTGAGAAAGCAAACAGCTATTTCGGCTTTTGTGCATATTACTAAATCTGCTGATTTACACAGTATGATTCCCTTCTTACACCACTTTTTGGTAAACCCTCACCCCCTCTATACTTGCACTTCCTTCAACTTTATTAATTTGTACTTATTCTTATCAGGAATTGACTGGTATTAATATACATAAATAAATTGTTGTTTATTACTATGGTTACTGAAAAAGACATAGATTTAGAACTAGGTTTTCTTTAATACTGGCAGCATATTACTTCTTCCTTCGTCTCTCTCCCCGTTCATTCATTTTTCTCTCAGATGTTCCGTTTGTTTTTTCTTCCGTTACACTCCTGTCCTTTGTATCGCTTTCTCAAAAACCATGCCAACAGTCCCTTTTCTTTTATGGCCTTGCAACTGCTTTTCGTAATTAGATTAGGATTATAACGCTCCATAATAATAAGAGTTATTGTAGCTTCCAAATCCAGCCGAGAGAGGCTGATCTACCTCCTTTTTGTTTTTCTTTTCCAAAGGTTGGCAAGTATAATTTTTATGGCACTCACTATGTTACAACACACTAATGCAAATACATCTGTGGTGGATAATAATATCACAAATGGTTTTCTTACTTTCTCTGTTTTCTAGAACCACCCATCAGCACTCCAAATTGTCCGCGTCTGTATGGTATCTTCGATGACACTTCCAACTGCCGAGTGTTCTACTCCTGTTGGAATGGAGACGCTGCCAGATTCGAGTGCCCCCCAGGTCTGGCATATGATCATGAACAGAGGGTCTGTGTGTGGGCTGATCTCGTTAGCCGCTGCAACCAGCTGGGTAAGATAAGATGCCTTATTTACTTTTACTTAAAAAAATTAATGTAAAGCTGTAGGTAAATCATTAACGATAGGCATTGTAAAACTCTAGGCAGGTTACTAACGATAAGATATTGTAAACTGTGGGCAGGTCACTAACGATAATATACTGTAAACTGTTGACAGGTCACTAACGATAAAGGAGTTTAAGGATTGGATACTTGAGCCATTTGCTACTATTTTTTGTAAGTCCTTGAATATTGGGCAGGTGCCAAACGATTGGAAGTTAGCTAATGCCACTCCACTTTTCAAAGGAGGTAATAAGATTATCCCAGTAATTATAAGCCTATTAATCTTAGATCAGTTGTGGGAAAAGTATGGAAAGTCTGATAAAAGATGTTTTATAAAATCATTTAACAAAGTTTAGAATTTTCCTGGAGAGTCAACATGGTTTCATTAAGGGAAAATTGACATTCTTTGAAAATGTTTCCACTTATGTAAATGAGGGTAAGGGTGTAGATTCTGTTTATCTGGATTTTCAGAAAGCCTTTGACAAGGTGCCATGTATAAGGCTTGTAAATATAAAATGTCTCTATAAGTTTGGGGGATAAGTTAGTTAATTGGATAGAAGAGTAGCTGGATGGAAGAAAGCAGAGGGTTGTTATAAAGGGAGTTCAGTCAAACTGGATTAATGTCACTAGTGGGGCACCTCAGGGCTCAGTCTCTAACCTTTGCTTTTTCTAAATTTACATTAATGACATAGGTGCAGGAATGGTCAATATATTACTTAAATTTGCTGATAATATTAAGGTCTTAGGTGTTGCTAACTGTGAAGAGGATGCTACTTTTTTGGCAAAAGGACTTAGATCATTTAGTGAGTTGGGAAAGCAAATGGCAAGAGAGTTCTAATTATAATAAATGCAAGATAATGCATGTCGGTTATCATAATTTAAATTATAAATATAGTTTGGATGGGAATAACTTTAACAGTGTCAAAAAAAGAATGGGATTTGGGTGTTATGGTTGATCAGTCTCTTAAGCCATCCAAGCAATGTGCTGTTGCTAGTGGTAAAGAAAATAGGATTTTAGGTTGTATCAACAGAAATATTGAATACAAGTCTAAAGAGGTTATAATTTTATTGTAATCACTGGTTAGGGCACATTTGGAGTAGTGTGTTCAGTCTTGGGCTTTTAACCTTAGGAAGGAGATTGAATTGTTGGAACGGGTTCAGAGAAGGGTTACTAGAATGGTGCCTGGGATGGAGGGGGTTGTCATATGAGGAGAGGCTGAAATCTCTCAAACTGTTTTCTCTTGAAAAAATAAGACTTAAGGTGATCTGATTGAGGTGTTTAAGATTGTAAAGGGAATTGATAGTGTTGATGTATCATCTTTTTTCATACTTAACGGCGAGAATAGTAGGACACAAATATAAATTTTGGTAAGGTAGGAGTCATCTTCAGCTAAGACAGTTTCATTTTTCTAACAGGGTGGTTGGCCTCTGGAATGGGCTGCCTTCGTATGTTGTGGAGACAGTAAATTTAAAAGAAAGCTTGATAATTGTATGAATGATAAAAGCTGACATTAAGATTTTAAAAAAAATTATAATGGTTCAGTTTAGAGGATATAACAAGCGAGATGGACCAATAGTTCCCTAAATATTATATTATGTTGTATTGTAAACTGTACGCAGGTCACTTACGATAGATATTGTAAAAATATAGGAAGGTCTCTATTAGTGTCACATAAAATAATAAATTAATTTAAATTATGATTAAATTGATTAATCGACATTAGTATTTTTGATTACTCCAAATATCCAAGTCCCATATTAGAATAATCAATTAATGAACCCGACGATTAATCGATTGTAAAATTCCACTAATCAACCAACTCTTGACACTAGTGATAGATATTGTAAAAGATAAGGAAATATTCCCATTTGTATTACAAAAAAATAAGGAAAAACTTTTTCAACAGAAATTGCTGAAGGGTTTGTTTGCCCCGATCCGGCCGATATATCCAATCAACCAGGAATCTTTACACGTCATGCACATCCCACAGACTGCAGAAAGTTTTATGTCTGCATTGAAGGGACGGCTCGTCCTTATGGATGCCAAATAGGAACAGTTTTCAAAGCAGACACGTTACAATGTGACGATCCAGAAAACGTACCAGGCTGGTAAGTCATCAGTTTGTGTTAAGTTATGCATTTAATGACTTTTTATGGGAAATTATTTAATGTGTAACACGTTAGGTAATTCTGTAGTAACGTGGTAAAATCGTTTAGAGGATCTTCTATATTGCAGTCTGGTAGTACTATATCTTAGAGCAATAAAGTATAGACATGGCTGATTGGCAATGAAGAATACTTTATTACAAGTTTAAAACAGTAACAAATGTACAACATTTTGACAAGGCTATGTTAAACGTGTAATGCTCTGCAGTGGCTCAGCTAAAATCCGGGTTTCGATACCCGTGTTGAATACAGCACAGATAGTCCATTATCTGGCTTTGCGCTTAACAACAAGGAAACTTTTAATAAACCTTACTTCATCACCCAGTAGAACGTCTCTAAATTTTATTATACTGAAAGTGGTTTCTTTAGCATTAAAGTTGTATATTAGAGTACAAACTTGGTGTGTATGTTTATATATATATATATAGTATTTCAGTGGCGTTGAGAAATTTCTTAAAATATAGAGTACTCCATTTTGTGAATTGCTTGTGAAGAATTGTCTCAAAAATGCTAAGAAAAATAGTTCATAAACTTAAAAGTGCTTTTTTTGAGAATGTGTTATATTTCTACAATAATTGGACTAACATTCATTAGTTTTGTATTAGTAGTTAGTTTATCATAGACCAATAGAAAAAAAAGGAACTATCTAGATTTAGTATTCTTCTCAAGAGAACACTAACATCAAGCAGGATTTGACCTCATGACCTTGTATGACACACGAGAACAAGTTAAAATTTCTGACATTTTCTCCTGAGTAATATTGTAGGGGACCTTATTAAGATGTATAAGATTGATAGTGTTGGTGCATCATCTTTTTCTGTATTTAAGGATGAGAATGGTAGGACCTAAATAGAAATTTTGGCAGGGTAAGAGTCATCTCCAGGCTAGGTAGTTTTACTTTTGTAACAGGGTAGTTGGCCTTTGTAATGAATTGCCTTGAGATGTGGTGGAAGCAGTAAACTTAAAAGAAAGCTTGATAAAGATTTGGATGATAAGAACTGGCTTTGAGTTTATATATATATATATATATATATACATATA